TGACCTCGTCAATAAAACAATGTGAAAAGCCCACTATACGTGACGAGACCATAGGGAAAAAAATGTCGTTTTAAAAAAGGGAAAATTGAGCACTTTTTAAAAACACCCAATGTAAAAAGCACCTTAAGGGCTTTTAAAAACGAAAATCGGAAATAAGCATATTTAAGCACTTTTTAAAAATGCTACGCCCCATGATATCATAACTATTATTTTTCTAATCATTGAAAATATATTTGTTATTATAAACCCATAGTTCAGTTCTATTCTCAGCTATAATTTTCCCTCAAGATATAAAATGTAGGTCACATTCCTTTGCTAACTCAAGAGGTTAAAACAATTTTTCTGGCTGCCTAATGTTATAGTATGAGGCTATATTTCAATCTTGAGTCTGAAACAATCCATCTGACACTATGAATTGCTTTAAAGTTTCAAATACTTACGCTGACTTGTGTACTCATTAAGAAAAAACGGTTTTTCGATATAATAAGATTATATGCTAGTCCTTTTGTCGTAGTGGTCTTTCAGAGATTTCGGGGAACAAATCTGTTCATATCACCATGCGGAAATTTTGTTTCTTTGCTACCCTGCTAGATTTGATTTGATTTATTCACATGCATAAAATGAAAATTCAATCAAGCCTTTCATTTTATTCAATTTGACCTTTGTCAAATCTAAGAACAGATAGCACAATTTCGATAAAGTTACAATTAGGGTTAGAACGAAATTCGAACCCGATACCTCTGCGCTTCAAAGTATTCGGCAGGAGGACACGTATCTAGACTTAAACGATTAGAGAAAAGGCACAGACTTAATAGGGAAGGTAACTGAGTATCTAATGTCTCGAGAGGAAAAAGAGAAGGTTTCAATTTTGTGTCTGAAGTTACTAAAAGACCTCAGCGCTTTAACGGAGTGGAACCAACACCAACTGCATGGAGATAATGACTTCAAGTCAGTTATACAACCGAAATCAAAATCATCACCTTCTTCGCACCACAAGCATTGAATGAAAGGTTAACCGAAGTGAACAGACAACAGCAATATATGTTCTTTATCATCTTACAATTTGGGGCAATATAATTTACAAATCTTTACTTGAATAAAGTTAAGAACTGGTTGCTTAAGAACTGGAACAGTACAGGCATGATTTACCGGCTGGGTAGCGTGGTGCAAAGATCGGTCCTTCTGTCCGATATAAACTGTGGTAGTGTAATGCGCGTGAATTCGAACGAGGGAGGATAAATCGCAGATCGTCACCATTAGAATATTAGAGAAGCTCTAGTGTGATTTTAACAACCAGACTATTTTATTTTATATTATAACCGTCGTTAAACAGCCGACCCAAATTTTGGGTGTACGACTTCTGATATTCAACTCCGTATCCTTGTAATTTAAAACCTAATCCAGAAGACAAGGGGATTCCTAGATCAAGTATTGGGAGAAAATTTGCCTTCGTGGAGGACTTTTTGATGGAACTAACCCCATTTGCGTTGCATGGAGAGGAAGACCACGAGAACCTCCCATGGTTAGCCTGACGGCAAGGGGACTCAACCCAGGGATACGTCTACCACTGAGGATATTTCAGCACTGTGGTCGGTGTGAACCGAATGTGGATTCATATCGACCAGCCATTGGTGGGATTCAAACCCGGTTCATCTCATCGGAAGGCGAGCGCTCTATCCCCTGAACTCAACAACCAAACTATTGTCTATTGAAATATTGTATCGTTCTATTAATTTATTTATTTTCTTTACATGCATAAATTCAAAAGTATGGGTTATCAACCCTTGTCAATATCAAGAACAAATAGCTCATGTAGGCAGATGGGTATTTAATTTACGTCGTACTAGAGCTGCAGAAAGGGTCTGGGAAACCTCCCTATGGATGATTGGAAGACCTATCATCACAATTATAATCCTCTGTAGAGGGACGGCTTGCACCCGAAGTCAAGCACTTTACGGTAGAGCAGTGTCACGAGGACTGATATCGCGCACAATCGGTCCATACGCCGGCGGAATAAAGCGGTTACCCACCCGCTTACTGTTCTCAACCAGTAATACTTGACTTCGATATTCTATTGGGAACCGTGTCTTTACAATCACTGCGGAACAAAAACTCGAGAAGCATATTTCAATAATACATTCAGGATGGCGGTGGAATCCGTTACTTCCAAGTTAGAGAGCGTTTGGTGGAATGGTGAGACCACTTATCCAGGGAGGCCCCTTTTATCATTCTGTAAAAATGTCTTATTTCCTCAACAACTTTTGCTAGAATTTTTCTCAAGCCCGAAAAGTCACCTCATCTCACTCAACTCGCAGAAGATATATTAAAAACGAGTATTTTATTCATTGATGCATGCATACTTGTGTGCTCAATTACATGACATACATTCAATTACGCAAGTACTGGTTTTCAGTCTTTATCAAGTAGGTACTTTATTTACGTCACACTAGAGCTGCACAATTGGCGACGGTCTGGGAAACATCCCTGAGGATAATTCGAAGACATGCCATCACAATTTTTGATCCTCTTTAGAAGGGATGGCACACCCGCTTCGGCAATCCGACGACTTGCATGCGAAGTCGAGCACTTTATGGTGGAACAGCTTAGCGAGGATCCATGCAGCACACCCTCGGTCCCTTCGCAGACTGATCCAAATGGTCACCCGCCCGCTCACTGACCGCAGCCAGTGATGCTTGACTTCGGTGATCTGCTAGGAACCATACCTCAACGATCAGTCCACTGCGGAACCTTCATCAAGTAGAAAGACAGATAGTACAATTTAAACAAGGACAAAACGAAGGCACATCCTTGGTAGGACGAGATTCGAACCCGCTACCTCCACACTACAGAACTTTTGGCAGGTGATAACGCTCGGCACAGGGAGGCCCCAAAGAACGCGAGTAGCGTGGATCCTCTTCATCATCAACTCAATTCGACTTTGATAGACAATAATTGCCAATCGTTATCGATATTAAGGGATATAAAATACGGGGCAAGACTTGCACCAACCGAGTTCTTCGAATCTCTGTCTTGTTGTTGTAGTATTAGAAGGTGCTATTTTTACATAACTTTACAGTAAGTCTTTTTCTAATTTTCCCTACTTTTACATACACTTAAAGTTTTTCGAGATACTTGTTGGTATGTTTGTAATTGTCTAAAATTCGGGATTGCTTTAAGTATGATTAATATACCTCTTTTGTTAACTTAGTTCTTTTGTGAAATTTAAAAATGGTTCTTTTTCGAATATTTTGATGGGATATTTGCTTATTTAAAGAATTACTTTTAAATTTATCAACTTCGCTTAGTTAAAATTCTCTTTAGATTATTGAGTAAAAACGACTTGAAATAAAATCGCGATTTATTGTTGACTAAGAGCAATGAAACTAAAGTTTTACGAAACAATAGTTTTAATGTTTTGTATATATTTTTTCACAGGATTTAACGTGATTATTATTTTTTAAATACTAGACATTGCGCGTACTTTCAGTACTATATCTAACAGTCTGCTTTTAAAACGTGGCAATTTTTCCCCCTCCGATATTGAACTGAATTATAAAGTTTTGTGACTGTTTCAAACTTAATATACTTCCCACTAAATTCCAAAATATTGTATATTCAAGCTTAATAATAGAGTTTAGTGTTATAAATTTCTTTTAAAATTTGGGTTGCATAAACTTGTTTAACAAAGTTTAAACTTGTTTAATTTTGTTTAACAAAGTCTTTGTAAAGCCAGAGCATAGTTAATTTCTACCTTAGAATACTGAACTCGCTATTTACCTGATAAGATGAGTTCTAGTTTATCACCGATAATGACATCAGTCGAGGGAAGGAAATTTAGGTGGGGGTTTTGAGATATACCATACTGTAAAAGACTTGTAAAATTTATGTATTGAAAATTGTATTTTTATATTATGCTAGTTATATTATATTTAGCTTCAAAATTTTGTTTAATTTGTTTTAATTGCATAAGATGTGTGTGTAATCCATTACCTTTTATGCGTATGGAAAAATTATAAATACAGTAGTTGTTGCATTTAAAATGTTATTTTTGTAATAAAACCATTTTAACTTTTATTATAACTTAAAGAATCAATTTTTTCATTTTTCGTCAATTTTTCTGAAATATGTCACTGTTAAGGGGTTAAACTATAGTTTGTCTAAAGTAAGAGCTACCCTAGCCATTCTTCTGGACCCGTGACGGTGACTACTGTAACGAGGTATAACTATTTCAAGTTTAGGTGTGGGTCGTTGTTTAGAACAGGATTTGTCTCTGGTCGACGAGAGAAAGGGCAATCTTTTTTTTCGGTCTATTTTGTTAGCCTAGAGCAGGGATGAGCTCTTTTTCAACAAATCTAAAAAGTTTAGTGGGCTAAGTAAAATCTTCTAAAATACAAAACTATATAAAAGTTTTAAAATATTTGAGATGAATGAAATTACGATTTAATTTTTAAAAGTTACTTATATTGAGTGTCGAAGTGAGGTGTACTTATTTTAAGGTACGAGGCTAAATGCTTGTCTGTTAGTCTACTTCTGAAATGATTTTTTTCAAAGGTTTGATAGTTAAACACTTGTTCACGCGTATAAAATGAAGCAAGCATAGTACTGATTTTCTGGCATGAGAGTTTAGATTTGGGAAACTAGTGTTTGGTAATTTGTAACTGTGGCATATTTAGAAGCAACTGTTTCAGATTGCTACATTGAAACTAAATTAATTAAAGCTGCAAATCCAACCTCACTGTTTCACAATTTACGTTGAAAGGCAAGGTATCTAATTCTATTTTACTGTCACTGAAATCTAGAAATTTGAATATAGCTTAGAGCTCTAGTATTGTCGTAGCATTAGTCTAATATTATCGATTTATTAGTTATAAGTATACAATGTTCATCAGCAAACTTAAAGTATATTACGCTAAAGTGTAAAAACATACTCCACTGTGCATGCAACAAATTTTATATTTTTAATGACTGGTTTCCTATTTTCTTGCAGGATCCAAGTAGCTACCTTAAAACAGATGTTTGATACTTTACTTCACAAAGTTGCTTATGGAAGAACAACAAATCTACTCCTTACAGAAGAATGTTGATCATCATTATCCGATTTAGATTGGGTAAGGAAGTTAAGATTTATTTTGATCTGATCAATGTATTGTTTAATAGAATTTTTATTCCATGAGTCTACTGTTTAACATTTCATCGTTAGAACGTTGTATTCATTGGCTTTTGAAAACCTTTTAAATTTTTGATCCACCTTTTGAAATGATATTAATTTTTTCGCACTCACAAATGAAAGTAGACTCATAAAGACACTTGAATATTTTTAAGCTTTGAAAATTTAACCTTTTTGTCTGAATAAATTAAAAGATTAAATTTTCAATTTATTTTATATTATATAGACTTTATATAAAGACATAGCATTTTCTGAAAGTTTAGAGTTTTTGCTCTCAGAATTTTGTTGCAATTTAAATGCATTTTTAGAACGTAGATTTGGAGATTTTTTACTCCAGCACACATTGTAGTTTACTTTAGACTTGCTTGAAACTTCACATGTAGATTTTTCATAATGTTGGCGATGAACTAAGAGCTAGGGTGCAAGTGTGAATTAGTTATTTTTATCAAGCTTTAAGAATATTAAATTTTTCATTAAAAATTCAATATTAATGTGTAGTTAAGTCTCTTTTTGAAATTATAAAATAGTAAAAAACTCGGGTAATAACATTAATTTAGGTATTTCGAAATTTACGAATTAGAATTTACTGTAGAGCCGTTAGCGTGTCATGAAACATGTGTAGTTTCCAACTTATTTTAATTAATATTTTATACATTTTTAAACTTTACATTAAATTTAATTTAAAAATTGCGTAAATCCTTCCACGATCAGTTTGATGGTAACGAGCTTCTAAATCATGAACGGACTGAGGATACTTTACGTCAGAACTGTGGTCGGTTACAGCGAAGATCAGAATTGGTATCTATCAGCCTATGCTTAGGTAGCATCATTGGAAGGCTTACGCTCGGGGAGGGGGGCACCACTGATCTTAATTGGTTTTTTAAGGATACAGTGGATTATTCCCGAAATCGTGAAGATCTCTAAAATCGATTTTGTAACTTTGACCGTTTTATAATTAAATGATATAAAAAGCATAATAAAATCTCAAGAATTTGTAAAACATTTGAGAATATTAGTGTTATTTTGCTTTTATTAGGAAAAAGTTTTTCTCAATTAAAATTTTGCATTGAACTCAAAATTGATCTAGTTCCATGTTCTATAATTTTGACTATTCCATGAAACTTTGACTCTCTAGATCAATAAAAAAAAAACTTGTGGCAATCTATTTTGAAATTTTCTCGCAACTTATTTTATAGTAATTTCGATGTTCCAAAACGTTCATAAAGACACTATTTTCATGTTTTTTTGCCGAAACTTTCTTTTTCTACTCAGTATGGAAATTAGTTCAAAATTGTCTAGATTTTTCCTACATTTTAAAACTAAATATGGAGTTAAAATTATCAAATCTTAAAATTTTAAAGAGAAATTTAGTGCAAAGATCTTATTTAAACTTAAAAATTAACAATTTTTTTAAGAAGTTAAAACTTTTCTTGCTATAAAATTATTTTTTAATATTCTCTCTAAATATAAACAAGTTACAGCAATGTAGCAGTATTTCTTAAGTATTGAGCAATGTAAAGTATTTGTGTTTCATTTAGTTACTTGGTTGTATGGGGGTTGTTAACTTCTGCTGATAAGAGCTCCTAATGATCAGGAGGCTAATGAAATTTGATCATTTCACCAAACCTCGAAAATAACTTTTACGACTGTAAATTTCTTCATTCCGTGGTTATTTAAAGTTTCTGGTAATTGAAATTTCGTTTTCATTTAAACTTCGTCAGCATTTGTTAATATAGATTTCTGTGATAGATATTTGAAAAGCACGCACATAGCTCAGAGGTCCTGCGAGTAGGAATTAAATGTTCAGACTGATATGAACATCGTTACAAGTTTTCAAGAATTTTGTCAGATCATAAAGATTTTGTAACACTGCCTCTAACTAAAGTAAAATTCCTATGTTAATTTGACCATGGGAGTAAAGGCCTTTTTTTATTTTCAAAACTAGACTTTGCATTGAGCACTTCATCGTGATATAGTCTCCTTGGGTACCATATTTTCTAAGATGTCCATTGCTGACCTAGCTGCCACGACGATCGTAGTTTGCCGAGGTGTCCATTGCTGACCTAGCTGCCATGAGGATCGTAGTTTGCCAAGGTGACCTACTTCAGTTGCCTAGTCGTCTTGACGTAACAGAAACGCTGATCGTATTTCTTCAGCTAAAAATCAACTTCAACTTCAACTGAAAAAGAGGTTTTGTTTTACATTCTCCTTGAATATGAAAATTCCATTTTCAATATTTTTATTATTTAAATTTAAATTTTTCTCTTATAAGAATTAAGTTCTATAAATATTTTAAATTACATCTAAAGACATATTTATAAATTATATGACATTTAAGTGTACATTGCTGAAAAATTTATTTCACAAATATTTCTTAAACGTAAAGAATAATAAAATCTTATTTAGCTAATCATTCCTTTTTATCATACCTAGAAGTTTTTAGTCTTGAATTATTTTGAGTCATATTTACCCATTAAATATCTTAAATTAAATTGAGTCTCTAGAAATGGAATGCACCTTCTCAAATGTGTCAGCTGTCTTCTCTAATTTCTATATATGTACTGTTAATAGTCTTAAAATTATTAAGGCAAGCTTTTTGTTATCTATTACTCGTTATCAGCTATGACATAATATTTAAGAAAAATTAAATTTTAGCGCAAGGGAACTGATTTAGATTTATTAATGTTTTTCCTCAGAACTATTGTCCAGTACACTAACTAAAATCTAAATTGTATTATTCAAAAGAATTGTTTTGGGGTTCCAGTTTAAATTCAAATAAACTAAATTCAGAGAATTGCTGAAAATTAAAATACTTTCGCTCGATTCTCAAACGAAACGTATTTAGATGGATAAAACTTTATATCGGATTTAATTTTGGTATTACAAATTTTTAAATATTCTTTTTCTGTATATTTCCACCAAATACATCACGCGTTACTTTCATACTTTAGAATCTGTTGAAGTAAATGTGTTGTTGGGGGGGGGGGAGTTNGGGTGAGTTAATTTCAAAATCTATAGTTACAATACACTTAGTCTGAAGTTTAAGCAAAGTTTAATTAAAAAGATTTATAATAGACAAAATTCGTATCTCATATATGCAGGATATTATTAAAATAAATTAACTCTTAAACTTGTTTTAATCTTTAAAAAAAAATTTCAGGGCCCAGGTAAAAACTAGTATTTATTAAATCAACATTTTAAAATTTCAAAACTATTTAAATTAACGGGATGTTTAGAAACCGGAAAACTAGTAAATAAAATATCACAAATTTAGTGTTACCTTAATAAAACACTCGATATGAAATTGATAGTTATAAATTGATCCCACCTCATCAGTAAAATACTATTATATACCAGTTTTCGCATTTAAGGTACCCCGTACTGTTCGAAATACCAATTTTATCTTACTATTCCGGATCTGTCTGTGTACCCGTCACTTAAATTATTTAAAATTCAGGCAATAACGACTACCTGTCTCGTCATAGTATCGCATGTCTTAAGTTTTATTTTCGTCCCAATCTCAGTTAGCTTTGATGGAAAACAATGTTGTATAGTTAAGTTGGCACCTCACACATTAGGTCTTATTTTCATTTACGTAACTGTATTAAGATAAATTTCACAAAACAAATTTAAATTTATAACTTGTCAATCATTTATATAGTATAGGCAATAACCATTCTAGGTATTTATTCCAAATTTAAAAGAATGTGCTTTATATAAAGTTTGAGAACGAAACTATTAAAAAAAATTTATGAAAAATCAAGACTGTCTAGTAATTCAGTCGGCGTAGCGGAACGCGTTAGGTTTGCTCAAGAAATGTTCTAATTTTGCTACTCAATAGAAAACTGGTCGCTAACACGCTTTGGCGTAACAGTAATTTTTATCTGTAGATAGAACTAATTATACACATTATCGCATGCACTGAAAATTTTAGATAAGTTAGAATTTTGGTAAATAAAATATTTCAACTTTCCAGTTGATTTTAGAAGATAAACTGAAATTATATATCTATTAATACATTAATAAATGGGTCTCTACAAAACTATTCTTGTTTTTAATCTTATTTCTCCACCGAGTCTATTTGCATAACGAAAATCTTTAAATGGATTTGCCTCAATTTGCTTCATATCACCTCTTAAATATTTTTAGCTGCTTTGATACATATTCAGTGTCAAAACTATTTGTTCAAATAAAAATTTCAACACTGAACAATATTTATTACTGGTTATTCGGCTCGTTTAGTTATTCGAAACTGACTATGAGCATAGCACGTGATAAAAGGATATTTTAAAAATTTTAAAAGAATCTGACACACTATTTAATCATAGTTTCAAAAGGTAAATTTGGAAAATGAATGAATTTTTCCTTTTTAAATATACCTGGATGAGCAAATTTAAAGCAATTCATGTTTAAGGAATTTCGTTATGCATTCATATTCATTCAACATGCTATTTCTGGCTAACTACTAACATGAGACTAACTATAATAATTATTTTAACCATAAGCTAACATTAATTCATTGACTCGGCGGCAAAATAAGTTTAAACAATGGGGCATAATTACGCGGTAAAATTTATAATATTAAGAGTATACTTAAAATTTAATTTTAAAATTAAATTTTTATCAACTATTAGATAGTAAATTTTTTTAATTAGGGTTATGCAGTTTCGATCATTTTCAGTTATTTATATTAAGTTTAGTGAAAATTGCATGGAAAAAACTTTTAGAAATATTTTAAAAATACTGAAATTCAGCTTTGTTCAAATTTTGAAATTTCTAATTCGAATAAAATTTAGTAACAGGTGCATTAAAGTTACCAACAAAGTTTTAAAAACGTGCATCTATTTTAATAACTATTTATAAAGTCAGGAATTAAGAATTTGTTTTAGTTTAAAAAATAAAATTTTCAACTCTGAAGACATTTTAGAACTAGTGTTTTGTACTAAGACTGGATGACTTATTACTTATACCAAAAAGCTAAAATTAATAAAATACAGAACACAAATTAAACTTTTTAGCTTTAATTTTGAAGATCTCTTGAGCAACATGAACAATAAATGCCCTGAAACAGTCTAAGATCGTGAATCTTTTAAATGAACAGTCTTGTAATTGTCCATCCTCTTACACATTTCTGAATTGTATTCTTACAGTAAGATTTTTGACGAATAAAATATAAATAAACGTTTGAAATTTTATAATTATTTTTATTAAATGTTGAGTTAGTCAATATTTTATTAAAAGTGAAATAATGGTCGCTTATGCGCGATTCAGTAAAGAATGTTAATTAGCAGTAAAATTTGATCAAAAATAAAAACATGTTCAAATGACGCATGGTTGAAATTTTTCCCGGATTAACCCTTTTGCAGAGTTAATCTTATCACAAACCATAACATTCTCATAGTGGATGCACAGCTCCAAATGTTAAATTCCCGATCGTGACTGGCCAGGCCCTAGTTAAGTAATATTTTAGCTCTACAAAGTTACGCAAAAAATTTGCATTTAACGCGTTGGTAGAGCGTAGCAGTGCAGAATTGATTGGTGGGTATATGAAATCCATATACGTTTAGTGAATAAATTAATAAAACAAATCTTAGTTTAATGTGAAGTTTGTTTCGAATCGGCAGGTATTTAAGTCAATATCGTTGAATTTTTGTTCATTGTAGTTGTCAAAACCCAAAGGTGCTCACAGACTTTAGTCAAATGCTAAATCTTGCAGTTCAGCTAACTATCGTGGCTGAAATCCCTCTGTAATTTAAGGACTGATAAACAAAATAATCCTGATAAACAAAACTCGTCTTAATTGATATTTTCGAAAATGGGAACATGAACTATAAGGTACTTCAAGTTCCAAATAAATTATAAAACTTACTTCAAAACAAAGTTTAAATATACGTTGGATGACAAAATTAAAACTTAAATTTAATATTGCAGCAAAAGTCTCTTTAAATCTCTTCAAAAATTTAAAATCATTTCAGTTGAGAATGTTAACTTAGTATAAATACCAGATTTATTTGACCTATCCAAATTCAAGATAATTTATTAAAATTTTAAAATATATTTTTAAGCAAGGGATTTAAGTTTTTCAACATTCATGTTTCTAATAAAATGAAATATTTTTTTAAAACACATAAATACATAGGTTCAACGTATTCACGTATAAATTAAATGTTGCCAATTTGAGATTTGAAAAATCGCAAGTTTGGTGCCAAGTAAATATATAGATTTCGACTCAAATGAGTGTTTCAAAAGTTCTCTAACTCTTATTTTTAAACTGAACTATTTCTTTTCATAACGATCTCGTGCAAAAGTGCTACAAATATAGGTTCTTGGTCAGAGAGGGCAAAAATTTCGGATAGAAGTTTGAATCTACTATTTGAACACATACCCGAATAATCCATGAGGTAAAGTATAAACAAACTTTCTTAATGTGTTCATTTTTATATCTAACAGCAAAATTTTGAATAATTTTCAGATTCTCATAGTAAGTTGCAATTGCGTTGAATATTTTAAGAACTAATGACGTAGATAACAAGAAGCTTGTTAATCATTAAATGTTTGTTTTTAAACTATTATATGATATGCAGATTTACAAATTCCAGAAAATGATTCATTAATCTCATTGATTTGCGTATGATCCTAAGCGGATCATTGTTAAAACTGAGAAATGTTCTGTGCAAATATAAATTCAATAAAACTAGTGGGGCTGCTCCTCGCGCTCGCAAACCCCAGAAAATTGCTACGCAATCTTATATGGTTTGCTTCGCAAACCAAGCTCGCTTCGCTCGCTAATAACTTAGGTACATTGCAAATGCACAAACAATTCGAAAGAATCATTCAAATCCATAAACAACTTTTTTAAAAAAATTACATCTTTTAGAAAATACCAAGTCATTAAAATAAATTTGAATTCAAATAAATGACATGTAATTCGTTAAACCTATTAGAAATGTGCTATAGTATAATTCGTGATATAAATCAAAAATCTTCAAATAAATTCGTATTACATAAATTCGTGGAAAAAAAAGTGCTTTCGACAAAATATTAAAATAGAGCTCTATCGACAAAGACTAGCTTAATAGTATGAGATTGCCGCAGCTGATGCTCTCTGGTTATTCCAGTTTCAGTTTTTAAAAGCGGTAAATGTTGAGCCACCTCAGCTAGATTTGGCACGTGAC